CATAGCGACCCCTCCTTGGGTTTCTGAGAAGGTATCACTATGGAAGTAGATTGCCCAACCTTCTTTCTGAGGAGTGGCTGGTGGGTTTGAACCACCAGACTTCTGGTTAGCAGACCTAAGCCCAAACGTTACTTTAAAGGATTTTTATAACATATGAAAATCGATTCGCTACTCGAGACTTACGGAAAACTTTTAAGGCTTTGGACTGAAATACTTGGATTTCATTATTTTCAGGGTGCCCCTGGATTCCGAGGACCTGCTGGTGCCAATGGCCTTCCAGGAGAAAAGGTAAATAGCTTTGGTTTCTATTTTTCTAAGTTCTAGTGTAATGAGTTAGCATTTTCTTCTATAAAATTCCTATGAATGAAAACTTTAATTTCTGAAATTTTAACAGAATTGGAAAATTCCCTGTGTAAAACAATGATTCTAACCCCTGATCATTCACCTTACTAGTACTATAACTGAAGTCAATCTTTCAGAATCCTTTAACTTGTCTATCAATTGAGAATCACTTATTTCAGCATCAATGAAAGAGTGTATAAACTAAAATGCTTGAAAGTTCTTTGAAAACTCTAAAGTGCTAGGTAAATATATGCTGTTAAGCCCACCAAATATTGTTAAAAAATAATATAAAAATCGTGATATTCATTTTTGTCCTCTTAAGAGTTTCCCAGTATGGCGATATAAGCTGTGATTTTATACATAGCATATCAGCAACACACCAACTGTTTTTCCAGAGAAGTGAAGTTCTCTTGTAATCCAAATATTGTCAATGTCTAGGTCAATGAAGTCTATTTAAAATATCTATTTATTTCACTACTTAGGGTCCTGCTGGGGAACGTGGTGGTCCAGGTCCCGCTGGGCCCAGAGGAACTCCTGGAGAACCTGGCCGAGATGGTCTACCTGGAGGTCCAGGAATGAGGGTGAGATTAATTGTTTGTTTGAAAGACACTTTGTAGTAAGAGTAAAAGCAAATAAGAAGGATCAAAGATAACTTAAGTCAGACTATACCTTTTGTAAGGCTTAAAACAAAACAAAACAAAAAATTATTTAAAGACAACTTAAGCTAAAATAGATGGAGAAAGAACAGAAAATAGAACACTTGACTAAGACATTTGATAAGCATAAAAAATTGTATGCAAATATGGTTTGACACATGTAAGTGAAAATCTCAAAAAAATACAATTCAATACATAAATATTTATTTTAATAAAGATATAATATTAAGTCAACTGAGTGACTGACTAAATTCTTTTAATTCAGGGTATGCCCGGAAGCCCAGGAGGTCCAGGCAGTGATGGAAAACCAGGCCCTCCAGTATGTACCTTTTACAAATCTCCTTTTACAAACCCAATGAATAATAGAATGTACACTTTGGTCTAAGCTTGTACACATAGTTTGTATTTTTTGTTCAGGTTTATCAAACCTGTATAATGTAACTTTTTCTCATTAGGGAAGTCAAGGAGACAGTGGCCGACCAGGTCCTCCAGGTCCATCTGGTCCCCGAGGCCAGCCTGGTGTCATGGGTTTCCCTGGTCCTAAAGGAAATGATGTGAGTTTATTCATTAATTTCTTAAATACATGATTATTGGGGAAAGGCTTTTTAATTTACATATGGGAATGCAGGTATAGCCACAACTTAGTCTCCAATTCAAGGCACAGAAAAATATGAAAATCAAAATGCCATGTGAGAAGGGGTCTCAAATACATTTTTTCAGAATTCTGCAACATTTACAGATATCTAGCTCTAGAAAATTGCCGCAAGTTGGAATTGCCTCAATGGCAATCATCAACAACAACAACAACAAACTTTAGAAAAGAGTTTTTGGTTGTAGATGTATGTGGGTACGTGGAAGAGGTAGACCAAAAATAGGAGAGAATAATATGATCAGTGATTTATTCTTGGGAATTAGTAAATATTGGCACTTCTTTTTAGGGTGCTCCTGGCAAGAATGGAGAACGAGGTGGCCCTGGAGGACCCGGACCTCAGGTATGTGGCCTTCATCTACTTATTTCTAGATTTCTAATGGATATGATAATCTCTCAATTTATGATTTCTCTTCATAATCTTTATCTCTACTTCTCTAACTGTTGTTTTACTTTAGGGTCCTGCTGGAAAGAATGGTGACACTGGACCTCAGGGTCCCCCAGGACCTACTGTAAGTTTACTCACATAAATCTGGGCTGGAAATGGGGTGGAGACAGGATACAAAACAGACTTTGGGAATTATATAATCTCCGGGAATTATATAATCTCTGACACTATATCATTTTGAAATGTGCCTACTTAGTTAACTAACACAATGCTAACATCAAATAAAGTTTATGTTGTACATATCTGACTTATACCACACCCACAACCTAGACTCTTCCCTCTTTTCATGTCATTACTTTTTAAATTTAGTTATGGACCTGCTGCAATAAAAATTGCAAACATTAAATATGAAGGGATACTGTATAGTGAAGTATCTCATTATATTTTTCTACATAGGGGCCATCTGGTGACAAAGGAGAACCAGGGCCAGCTGGTCTACCTGGAGCACAAGTAAGAACTTAATATTTAAATGAATATTAAGTACCTGCTTTCACCAGATAATTAAATACTTTCCTTATTTGTTGAATTAATTGAGTGCTCAAGTTTGTTGCTCAAATATATTGTCGTTTATCTTAAGCTTAATTTTTTTATTTGTCTTTCATCTTGAATTAAATGGGAGGCAATGTTAAGAGATGGAAATATCTTCCATAAAAATTCCAGAATTATTACATTAATGTTACTTAAAAAGAATTAATTAAATCCATATAATGTCAGGGTTTCACTTATTTCCTTCATTTTAATATAAATTCACATAGCTCAATTCATCTTGCTGTATTCATTAATTCATTTTTATATGCAGTAAAATAAAGAATAGAGTGAAATGGACATAGAATTGTAAGATGTAACTATCATGTTTCTGTGATTGGCTCTTGAGTAGCACAAATTTTGTACCACACAAGAAATCACTAAAACTATTTTTTAAACTCAGTTGTACATCTAAGAAACTTTTTTGTAAGCAATGCTTGAAGTGATTGCATAGTACAAATATGATTCTTTGTAGGGTTTGCCTGGTACTGCTGGTCCTCCAGGAGAAAATGGAAAACCCGGTGAACCAGTAAGTTACACGTCATTTTCCAATACTCTGCAACCAGAAAAATGAAGAGCAATCATTGATCAATTAATGACTTTTGCATTTTCTCTCTGTCCATGGTATATGAAATTTAATATTCAGTATTTGAAATATTCATGATCAAAACAAAGAAAAATGTTTAAATGGTAACTATTACATAAAATAGGGAGCTCTGGTGTCATAGTGCCTAAGGCATTTGATTGCTAACCACAAGGTTGGAGGTTCAAACCCACCAGCCACTCCTCAGAAGGAAGATTGGGCAATCTACTTCTGTAGAGATACCACCTCAGAAAACCAAGGAGAGGTTACTATGAGTCGAATCAACTTGAGGGCAGTGAGTTTTTTTTTTTTTTGTTTTTTATTACATAAAGTTTTGATTTTACCATAAAATTAAAAGAAATAAAGGAAGATACATAACTTTAAGATTTGACAAATTGTACAATGTGCAAACTGGTCAAATGTGCATTTTTGTTATATTTTTATAACATGAATCCTTACATAGGCTTAATCATATAATTCCCATTTCTTAGGGTCCAAAGGGAGATTCTGGCTCGCCTGGAACTCCAGGAGGCAAGGTAAATATTTCAATCTATTCTCTAATTTCTTCAGCCTGGTATAGAGAACTTGATTGGTGACACATGCTTATTATAGCAATCCAAATACTTATTTTAGAAGAGCAACATTGCAAATATTTGGTGAATACATGCTATGAGTCGGGGCCGACTTGACGGCACATGACAACAACCACAACAACAACATTTAAGGAAGCTCAAGACATTTCCAATACATTAAATTTGTTTGCTCTGCAACATCTAATTCTCTGACATTAATAAGCCACAGAATCAACCATGGGCCTGAAATCTCAAAAAGAAAATCATTCTAATGTACTAATTCTATAAAAGAAAACAGTTTTAGTAGAAAAACGTTAAAAATTTACTTGTGAATGAAATGATAATAATTAAAAACACTCCAAAGATAGTTCATACTTAGGCAGACCTGTTACCAAAGTTATCCTTTTACGTTTCTATTTTCCAATAAATCAATCAAATGTGTTTCAATAACTAAAAATTTCCAAATTGTTGAAAAGGAAACTTTGAGAACGTAGTTGTCCTTATTGATATGTTTTAGCACTTTGGGTTTTCTAATATGGGTGTTAAATTTTCCTACTACAGGGTGATGCTGGTGCCCCTGGTGAACGTGGACCCCCTGGACAGGGCGGGCCCCCAGGAATTAGAGGTGGAGCTGGCCCCCCTGGTCCTGATGGAGGAAAGGTAACTTCACAGAAGTCAATTAATCTAAATTTTAGAAAGTTATCACATTTCCTTCTTGTGGTTAAACATTTCTCCCTTCATTTCAGGGCCCTCCTGGTCCCCCTGGGCCACCTGGTACTTCTGGTTCTCCTGGTCTACAAGGGATGCCTGGTGAAAGAGGAGGTCCTGGAGGGCCAGGCCCAAAGGGTGATAAGGTACTGATTTATTGTGTCTTTGGGTAATAAAACAGTCTTTATAAGGTTAAAAGAAAGCAGCCCCACTCTGAAGTTATCCATTTTCAAAATCAATGTTATCATTTTATGCTTTGTGTAATCTGAAATGTATTCCTAGAGTGATTATCAGAATGTCTAATACACATCACAGCAAATCATAAGGGTTGCTCTTCCTGGCAGATTTTAGTTGAGGATACTTAGTCTCATTGGAGCCCTGGTGGAGCAATGGTCTGCTAACCAAGAGGTTGGCAGTTCAAACCCACCTAGCATTCCCACAGAAGAAAAACCTGATGATCTGGTCCCATAAAGATTACAGCTTAGAAAACCCTATGGGGTAGTTCTACCCTGTCACATGGGGTTGCTACAAGTGGATATAGACTCCATAGCACACAACAACATAACCTTATTCCATTGGCTTTTATTTGACAGGGTGAACCAGGCAGCTCAGGTGCTGATGGTGCTGCAGGGAAAGACGGTCCAAGGGTGAGTATTTACAAATGTGCTTTGGAGAAAAACAGGCCTTATCATTGTGTTTTACCTCAACATTTAAAAAAAAAAAAAAAAAACTCCTTTTGATATATTAGACGCAGTTTACCATTTCTGGGCATTAAGAAGATCCACATGTCTCAGTTGTTAAAATGCCTGGTTTATATCTCTCACTACCTGATAGTTTGACAGAGAACTAAGAATAGAAAAATCCCAAAACATGTTAAAGTTACAAGATAAAGTCACTAAAATGCAAGATAGTCAATCCTTCCCATTAAGAAACTGTTTATTTTCAAAGGAATTGTAATCCTGTGGTACATCCATACCAGGGAATGCTACTTAGCAGTAAAAGTAAATGGACTATTTGTGCATGCAACAACTTGTATGAACCTTGAGGAAATTATACTGAGTGGAAAATAAAGGACAATCTCAAAAGGATACATAATACGTGATTCCCTCCCTGCGTGTAATATTTGTGGTATTATATACACTAGGAGCTCTGGTAGCATAGTGCCTAAGGCACTTGACTGCTAACCAGAAGGCTGGCAGTTCAAACCCACCAGCCCACTCCTCAGAAGGAAGGTTAGGCAATCTATTTCTGTAGTGATTCTGCGTTGGAAACCCAAGGAGGGGTCATTATGAATTGGATTCGACTTGACGGCACATGACAGCAACAACAACATTAGATATACGGAATAGGTCAGTGGTTGTTAGGGTTTAAGAGTGGGAGGAGAAAGGTTGGCTTGGCTATAAAGGGATGACACAAAGGAGTCTTGTGGTGATTGTACAGTTGAATATCTTGATTGTGGTGGTGATTATGTAAGGCTACATGTGATGAAATTGTGTAGAGCTACATTCACATTCCCACACGTGCACATGAACGTATGTGTAACTGGTGAAATCTGAATAAATTATATGGATTATGTCAATGACAATTTTTTGATTTTGCCATTGTAATATAGTTTTATAAGATGTCAACATTGAGGGAGGCTGGAAGAAGAGTGCACAAGACTTCTCTGTACGTTTCTTTATAATTTAATATGGAATTATAACTATTTCAAAACAAAAAGTTAAAAAAAAACATTTTAATCAATTATATTGTCATTAACAAACAACTTCTAGGTATGAGCATAGCAAATAAACAAGATAATTAAGCTATTGTATGGATATACTGACTGCAAGTGTCTTAAAGAAATTCATAAGTACTCCTGACAGGGTAGATGGATAAGCCATCATCCCAACTAAAAAAAGAAAGATTCCTAATACTTCATTTATGAAGTATAAGTAAAACTTTAATATTGACAAAAGTTCATATAATGATACTTTTATTAGATAATTGAAACATTTTGAGAAATTATCAAGCAGTGGGATAAAGCAATATGTTTTTTCAAAGATGTTATCATGATTAATTATATATGATCTTACATAACATCATCTGTGATTGACAGAAAAAGGAACGAATCAGTAAACTGCTGCTGAATCCCATTGTCTTTTTGGGTCATCCCATGTAATCTTATATTTACTATTTTCTGCATTACTTATTCTCTGAATGAAGATTATGTCATTCAAGCTGTGAAAGAAATCATGTTATCAAGTTTACTAGATTATTGATATGACTTTATATCCCCTCTTTGGTTAATATGAAAAATTATGCTCTTTATCTTCAAAATTAAAAATATATTTCTATTTTCTTTAGGGTCCTGTTGGTCCCATTGGTCCCCCTGGCCCACCTGGACAGAATGGAGATAAGGTAATGTTTACCACTATGTGCAAATGGAAAGAAAATGTCTTTGGCTTTTTGGATGCCAGACAGCAGCTTATTTTCTCTGTCTCTCTTTTCACAGGGTGAAGGTGGTGCCCCTGGACTCCCAGGTCCAACAGGACCCCGTGGTGGCCCTGTAAGAAAGATTTTCTCAACATATTCTTTAAAACCACAGTTGTAGAAGCTACTTGAGTTTCCTTCTTTAGCATTTCGGCCTCAGGCATCCTTAATCCTCAAATTGAGGTATTGTCTTTAGGGACCTTATGACAGACAAGGAAAGGTTAAATTCCTTTTATCTAAAATTCACCAGAGAGAATTTTAAATCATATCTTCCTTCCTGTATAATGTCTGAAAAAGAAACATAAAAACTGTACAAACAATATGCATTTGTAATTAAATTTCTTCAACCTACTGGATCTTTACCAGTGATTACTTCTAGATTTAAAATTCTCTGGCTTCAGTGCTTTGAGACTCAGGACACATGTATATTCAATATTTAAAAAAAAAAATTACTGTGATTTGGGTGAAAATTTATGGAGTAAATTTGTTTTCTATTCAACTGTTCATATGCATTGTGTTTCATGACATCAATCAGAATCTCCACAATGTAATAGCATTCTTCCCGTTTTCTCCCTGTGGTTACCATTTCCCTTGGTTCCTTTTTCCTATCCATTCTTGACTTCTGAGCTTTAGCCCAGGGCAAATTCTGCCCTTTTGATCTCTTAGGGTTGATTGTTCTAAGGAGTATGTTCCTCCTTGGTGTTATTGTTCACCTCATCCCCTTGTCTATTGTTTGGCTAAAAGTTGAGCCACAGAGGTGAGTTCAGTTCTGGACTTCAAGGTTTATTACAGGCCATAGTCTTGGGGTTCCACTAGTCTCTATCAGACAAGTAAGCTTGTTCGTTTTTATTATTCTGCATTTTGTTTCACATTTTTCTGCCACTCTATTCAGAGTCCCCTATTGTGATCCCTTTCAGAGTGGTTGGCAGCATTTGCTAGGTACCATCTAGTTCTTCTGGTTACAGGGTTCTGGAGGCTGACATTTGCATGGTCCACTACGTCTATTGGACTAATCATTTTCATGTGTCTTTGATTTCCTTCATTCTTCTTTGCTCCAGACAAGAAAACACCAATAGTTGCCCCTTAGATGGCTGCTCACAGTCTTTTAAGACCCCAGTCGCTACTCATTCAAGCAGGATGTTATCAGTGTCTTTGAGGATTATGTATGCCAATTGACATTGATATGTCCAGTGACTATGGCCCTGAGCCCACAGGCCCAGAAACCCACCCCTCAAAGGTGTTTGGTTATGGCTAAGCAGTTTTATTTACTTAATATTCCTTTAATTGATTAATTGACTTCTCAGTTAACCTTTATACAAAAATTTTTAATACTTATATTTTTAGAAGTTATATAATTAAATATGTTGAACACCTCAAAATTCTCAAACTATTTTTCTTGCAACTGAGATCACAGTCAGAGGCAAAAGGAATAAATATCTTTGATGTTTTCAACTCCTAATTTTGTTGTCATATGGAAGTCTTCAGACATTAAACTATGATTGTTAGCTTTGCACATTTCCTGACTAAGGAAAAGATAAGCTTATATATGATATAATATGTGATCACTGTGACTAACAAGGACATTTTTCTCTGTAGGGTGAGAGAGGTGAACACGGGCCTCCAGGACCTGCTGGTTTCCCTGGTGCTCCTGTAAGTATGAATATTAAAACCTACCTTTACACAGTTCAGAATCACCACCTAACACATACACACATACACACACATGGATATACACATAGCATAATGCATAGTGTTAATGCAGGTTCTCTATTCACTCATTTCCTGTGGGATTATTTTATGTCTTGATCCATATTATTCTTCTTTAAAAGATGAAGGCAAAAATGCCTGCACCACTTTTATCCCTATGTAGTGAGTTTAAAACAGAACGATAACATTCTTTAGTTATAAAATGATAATATAATCAAAATTTGCTCTAAACCATATCTTTCTGGAATGAATTTACTGATGCAAACCCTATGCAGTGAGTGATGCACTACAGTGAGACACATGGGGTCACCATGCCTCAGAATTGACTAGATGGCAATTGGTTTGATTTTGGTTTATTTTCAAATGCATAAACTTTGGAGAAGCTTTCTTCCTGGGACAAATAATATATACATCTTACACGTTATTATTATTAATTCAATTTTATCTTGGAAATATTTGGCCATGTCTTCAAAGAGTCTTCTTTTCTTATATTTATTGTCTGTGTATCTGAAGCATTCTGTATTCTGAAGAAAAATAATAATAAGCCCAGGTTATTGATAAGCTCACATGTTTTTGCTGTTTCTAAATACAGGGACAGAATGGTGAACCTGGTGGTAAAGGAGAAAGAGGTGCTCCTGGTGAGAAAGGAGAAGGAGGCCCTCCTGGAGCTGCAGGACCCCCTGGAGGCTCTGGTCCCGCTGTAAGTGTTCTCTCTCTAAGCCCTCTAATGGAAAGCATGTAGGCTTATCAGTAATTGAATACTTTCTACTGAGATCATTTGGCATGGTGGCAAGAGTCCAATCTTCATAATAATATACTTCTGAGTGAATATCCCTTCCAATTGTCTAGTATGACCACTCTCAAATTTTCATCTCTTCATAAAATTACTGTTTCATGATATCTTAAAAAGGCTTAAACCTTGTCCAAATTGTCTGAGCATGTGCATGTATATGTCCTATTTTAACAGATTTTTTTTCCCTTCACATTTCATATAGGGTCCTCCTGGTCCTCAAGGCGTCAAAGGTGACCGTGGCAGTCCTGGTGGTCCTGTAAGTAGTGATTGTTTTCCATTATTGCTGAAAAGCATTAATTGATATCAATTTGTTTAAAAATGCTTTAAAGATACTTTGTTGTTGTTGTTGTTGTTATGTGCCGTCGAGTCGGCCCCGACTCATAGCGACCCCTCCTTGGGTTTCCGAGGCAGTATCACTACGGAAGTAGGATTGCCCAACCTTCCTTCCGAGGAGTGGCTGGTGGGTTTGAACCGCCAGCCGTCTGGTTAGCAGGCAAGTGTCTTAGCCACTATGCTACCAGAGCTTAAAGATACTAGAGCCCTAAAAAGAGTATAAATTTATAATCACTCACATATATCGGTTTTGTATAAATTCAAAAGGGAGAAAACAAACCATAAATGACCCCAAGTGGAATATTTTTAATATTATGTTTGGATTTAATGGATAGTTATTTGTTCTATTTAACTTTTGAAAATACAAAAAAAATATATATATATCATTTCATAGGGTGCTGCTGGCTTCCCTGGTGGTCGTGGTCTTCCTGGTCCTCCTGGTAATACTGTAAGTGCTTTTAAATTATTATTTTTTAAAATAATAAATTCCAGAAAAAGCATTCATACATGGATATGATTTAAAAACTTACATATTGATAGCTATCTTTCAATAAATAACCTATAAAATTATCTCAAAGTAGGTAAAAGGGAGAAGAAAAAAATCACCTTTTCATTTTAAAATACTCATATTTCAAACAATTATTTTTAGGGTAACCCAGGACCTCCTGGCAGCAGTGGTGCTCCAGGCAAGGATGGGCCCCCAGGTCCTCCTGGCAGCAATGGCTCTCCTGGCAACCCTGGGGTGTCTGGACCAAAAGGTGATGCTGGCCAACCAGGTGAGAAGGGACCACCTGGAGCCCAAGGTCCGCCGGTAAGTAGCTTCATTGCGATATTGATTAAAAATCCTTATATATATATATATATGTAATCACAACATCTGTAGAGGAAAATACAGTCACATAAAGAAGAGCTAAGACATCATTATCTGTCACCACAGGGATCTCCAGGCCCACTTGGAATTGCAGGGATTACCGGAGCAAGAGGTCTTGCAGGACCACCAGGCATGCCAGGTGCTAGGGGAAGTCCTGGCCCACAAGGCGTCAAGGTGAGTTTAGCCTTTTTTACTGGATTCTTATTTCCTTTGATTGACTTCAGAGATGATTCAACCATATCAAGTATGTAATGAACAAGTTTTCCTGTCATAGATGAAATTAACCAAAGGGTGACCTTTTAAATCCATAGTTTCATATTTTTGGAACCAGAATATGAAAATAATTTACATCTTAGACAAGCCTTGTATATGACACAAGCAAATCAATATCACAGAAAAATACCTCGTTGTTTCAAACACCTCTATCAGGAAAATTGTGAGTTCTTCATCTTGTTGATAGTTGGGGTCAAAGAGGAAATTTATAGTTAGCTTATCTAACTATAAATACCTTTAATTGATGCCACTTATTCACTAATTCAAGTCATTTTGCACTCTTGATTTTCTTTCACTAGTAACATTGCAGTGATCATAATCTTAAATATCCATTTAGCAAGTGAGATAATAAAATTATGGTTTTACTAGGCCTAACACCTTGACACTTTGAGCACTCGTTTCAATGAAATGTCAAATATTGTAATGAAATTAAAAGTTTAACTTTTCAAAGTATTCAATGTTCATGAACATACTTAGAAAATGTGTGCTCTTCAGCTAGAGCCAATGGTATGAAACCTACACCTAATGGGCACCTTAAACCTATAGTTCCACAAAAGCTCATAATTTTTTTCTTAAAGTGTCTATCATTTTAAATGTTTATTTCCATATCTCATATTAGAATGTATCCTAAATAAGATAATAAATGTAATTGCCAAGATTTTTATTGTCCAATATCACTGAGCAAGTGGAAAACACAAGGTTTGCTTCTCAGAAGATTTTCTCTCATTGTGGTGATAGTTTTAAGAACAAATTCAATAGAAATTGAAGAAAATAAGATTTTTCCCTAGAAAATAAAGACATCTGGTAATGACATACAAACTGATTTCTTAAAACAAAATATCTTTTATTCCTTTGTACACAGGGTGAAAATGGGAAACCAGGACCTAGTGGCCACAATGGAGAACGTGGGCCTCCTGGACCCCAGGGTCTTCCTGGTCTTGCTGGTACATCAGGTGAACCTGGAAGAGATGTAAGTTCTAGTTCTTAAGAAATGTCCAAATAGTCAGATAGAATTTGGTCATTTACATAAGCAAAGGTCAAATCAGATCTCAATTTCTAAGAGAGTAAATATCATCACATGCCAAAATTCCCCTTCCTTCTCTGGTAACAGATTCTCTTTCTATTACTTGTTGTTGTTGTTATGTGCTGTCAAGTCAGACCCAACTCATAGTGACCCCTTCTTGGGTTTCAAAGGCAGTATCACTACGAAAGTAGATTGCCCCATCTTCCTTCCGAGGAGTGGCTGGGGGGTTTGAACCGCCAGCCTTCTGGTTAGCAGTCAAGTGCCTTAGGCACTATGCTAC